CGGTACCAAAAAAACCACATTGTTTAAAAAAATAATACCAATTAAAAACGTTAAAAGAGGAATTCCATTCTTTTAGAAAAAACAACATTCATCGTAATTGTAACAATAACGTGTCGTCGACGAGAGGGAGTTTTGTAATGCTTCGCTTCGGAGGAAACGTTCGGCCATAGCGCCGCACAGAAGCGGTGGCCGCTCCTCGGCAAGACCCTGGGAGGAGGAGTCATCGCGCGCGACACCCCGGGCGCGCGACACCCCGGGGAGCGCGACACCCCGGGGAGCGCGACACCCCGGGGCGCGCGACACCCCGGGGGCGCGTGACACCCCGGGGCGCGCGACACCCGTGGGGCGCGCGCCGCCTCGCGCTGTCCGCACGCAGCAGCAGCAGCATTGGCAGTGGAGCTGGGCGGATTGGCCGCTGCAAAATTGCAAATCGACTCTTGGTCGATTTTTAGGGCCACTTTATAAATGGCTGCCGCTGCTGCCGCTGCTGCCGCCCCCCCCCCCTCACATTGTTTCCTGAAACCCTTCCCCCCGCCCATCACCTCCCGTCCAGCGGCACACATGGAAGCAGAGGTTATCCCCCCCGCCCCCTCCCCAATAATTTCACGCGATCCTGTGTCAAGTACTCGAACCGATGATTAGAGATCGATCGATTGGATGCTGCCGGGGTTAGCAAACTGGGCGCGCAATCCACGGAGGCCGTCGATTAGAATTCCAGGTGTGCGCCTCTGTCCTGCCAGCGGTATCAATGTGTGCACCACAGACAGGCGATCGGCAGGCCGTGTGTGGCAGAGTAGAGATTGGGGACTGCCCCACTTCTTCAAAAGTCGAGGCGAACGTGGCAGAGCAGGCCAAAACAATCATCGAGAGCAGCGGTTCTGAAACTTTTGTTCGCGACTTTACCCCACCTTGTTGAATTGTCTCAACTGAGTAAGCCCCCCCACCCGCCTTGCCTGACCCAACATGGTTCTGAGAAATAAATGTACGAATAAGGAACATCAATATTTGAAGAAATTTTCCATTTTTTTTATGTATCCCTAACTAGCTGCTAGAAACTGCACGGGTGATGAAATTAGTTGGCGCTCGCTGGCTACTCCTGGAAACCAACACCGTCTACGATAAACCGAGTTTAGAAAGTTATTCTACATCGTTGTAGGTTACCATGTGGATTTAAATTGTATCGTAGTTACTTTATAGTGGCAGATTCATACATCATGACTCTCACGTACGATATAACTTCACACATTTATAAATCGTCTCACGTAACCCCCCCTCCTCACCCGGTTGAGAACCACTGCCCTGGAGGGTCTCTCCTGGGCTTCCCCCAGTGGGAAGCCGTCCCTGCAGGGGCCGCGAGTTTCATCGATTTGACTCGAATGATCGGAGAGCCGAGCGGCTGCACCACAGCAAGAGAGGGGGGGGGGGGCATGAGGAGGTGTACGTCGTACTGCCTCGCGGCGACCCTCACGGATATTCGGTCACGGTGGAACACGGGCAAAAGGGGCCGTTCGTTGCCGACGCTGCGAATTCCAAAACCTGAAAGTTGAATGGGGGGGGGGGCTACAAAGTCGCGGTGAGGTTATGGGTGGGGTTGTACGCAAGTACGTTGAACTTCTTTCGCACCGTACGTAGCCAAAGCGTGATAGTCGGCGGTGTGGGTGGGACAACTAAACGAAAAAAAGCAGTTCTAAAGAATTGAGAATTGAGTTTTCAATCCAGATAGTTAAAAGCGCATAGCTCCGATGGCTCGGAGTCGGTGGCAAGGATACTACTGCCACGGCGAGGGAATGGCCGACTATTCGGTTGACGTTCGTCTTGGCCCCAATGGTCTACGAGAAGCACAGCACTCGTGGCCGGGCTAGTTTGTCAGGATCAATGCTTGGGCTCGTATTAATGTCTTGGTTGGCTATTTAGTTTGACTTCAGCCAGTGCAAGAGCTAGTTAAGTGGCCGGATGGTTAAAAGAGACTCATGGTTTGCTACTTGTTAGCACTAAAGATAGGAATGGTACCGGCGACTGGTTTGTGAGATGGTTAGAGTCACAGCGAGGACTACTACTAGCGGCTGGGTGGCTCGTTGGTTAGGGTGAGTGGTAGCATGAGTACTTGTGGCTGGTTAGCCAGATGGGGTCACAGCCAGGGCTGGTACGAGTGGCTGGGTGGCCAGCTGGGTTAGTGTTCAGACGTCAGGCCAGAGTTTGCTTCGTCTGTCCCTCCTCCCCATTGCAACAATGTCGAGCCGTTCCAGTTTTTGGCCGCGTAAATCTTTTACGGGATTTGGAGCTTCTCACCCCCCCCCCCCCACTGCCTCCTTCAGCACTTGACACACGAGCGCTACGAAAGGGAATGCCGTAGCCGTCACCGGAACGGCAACGGCGCGACCACCACCACCGACAGACAAGGAGCCCGGTCGCCTGTACACATCCGCAACCCGAACGCGACTATTTAACACCTTGCACGCACGCGCAAGCGGACGCACGCGCACACTCGCGCACGTGGACACGGGGAGGGGCTAAGGGGAGTGTGAAGGAAGACGGCAGGCGTGTAACGATGCAACGATTCGCCGATTCAGAGATTCAAACGCTCGCGATAACATGCATGGAACCGCGCAAGAATCGGTCATTTGCGACTCGCGCAAATCATATGTACGTTTAGGAGGACGACGTGACGAGACAGACCACACGAACGACAGGCGAGAACGAGACGGGATGGGACCGTACGAACGAGGCGGCGGCAATGTAATTAAGATGATATAGAGTACGAGAGAATGGGATGCCGTGTCCGTGGCAGAATGGCATCTCGTGCACGAGACGGAAAAAATGAGAAGGAACATCCAAGAGGCCATAGAAATTGAGACAAGACGGTAGAAATGAGACGGAGCGTACGGAGACAGGCAAAACAAAGCTTGCGGCACACACGCGCCGAACGGTACAAGACAGACGGTACAGACATGGTGCAAGCAAAAGAAAATACAATGGATTCTTGAAACGAACATTGACCCTCAAATCACGACAAATCCATCCGATGGGTGGGAGGGGGGTGAGCTGGTGTCAACGTGTACAGGAGGGGACACGGTGAAATGTACTTTTGCTTCCGGTAGAAACCGGCACGTGCAGCGCTGCGGCCTCGCACTCCGCAGGGCACGTTCAATAAAATTTGATTCAACATTTGTTTTTAACAACGCACAGACGGGGGGGGGCAGGGTGGAGTGGAGGGAGGGAGGGGTAGGGTCGTCGATTGGGCCAGCACCACTTGTGTGAGTGTATGGGAGGCGTGAAGTGAGTTGGGGAGATTGGGGGTCGTGTGTGTGTGGGGGGCGGGGTGGTGGGGGCAGGAGTTGGGGGAGGGGGGGACGGTGTGTGTGGGTGTTGGGGCGGTCCCCGGGGTTGAGGGGACGCAGGGGTCAGCTCGTGCCGTGGCGCGTCGAGGAGTCCGGGTGCGGTGGAGAGGTAAGGTTCCGCCGGCGGGTGTCGGTGTCGTCGTCGTCGTCCGTGGTAAGGCCGTTACCACGTGTCGTCCATATCCACGGGACCCTGCCGGGAGGCGCACACGGAAACGCGGCCGTAGTAAATAAAGAAATATAATGACTACCGCAGAGACGCTCACCGCCGGCGTGTCGGGGCGTGCCGCTCCCTAGCCGCGCACAACTCCGCGGTCTCGGTGACGGCGGGTCCACGCCCGAGCGATCGGCGCGCCGCTCCGTTGCTCGCAGGAGAGAGACGGACTTGGCTTACGGCGGCGGCGGCGGCAAATCGTCGCCAACCCCCCCCCCAACCCCAGGACGGGAAAATTTGGCAGGACCCTCCTGAAAAAAGTCTTGAGACTCGCCGAGGCTTTCCGAGGTAAACGAAGTGCGCTGTTACGATGATGGGCATTACGATTGTCTTCCTTACCAGCTCCTCCTCCTTGTATGGGTTGAGCCGGTTGTACGCCGCTTCGATCACTCCGCGCCTGCCAAACAAAACACAAGCATCGGCATGAACCGGGGCGACAAGCTCACGAGCGGCCGTGAGGTCGGAACGCGCTCAGGGGTTAGAGAACAACGCTGCAGAGCCGTATGACCCACGAAGCGACATCACAGAGCTATATCACCACAAACGCGAGGGCGTGTGTGTGGCGTGTGTGTGGCGTGTGTGTGGCGTGTGTGTGGCGTACGTTAGCGATAGTGCGCAGCGGTGGGCGCACTGCACTACGAACCCGGCGACCCGAGTTCGATATCAGCTCAAGGCCAAAATCGGTGGCGAATATCTAAATCGGTCGCGGTGGTGAGATGTTAACTACCTTGTCTGGTATGCAGGAGGTCGTGGGTTCGATGCCGACCCTGACGCCTGTATGTTTTGAAATGTGCGTGTTCTTCCCGCGGTCGCGTGGATTTTTCTCCGGGTCCTCCGGTTTTTCCCTCCTCATTTAGGGTCAACGTCTCGCGTTTAGATAATTTGGCTGCTATAAATGTCCACGTGATAAGCCAACTTCGTTGAGCTTTCATTTGTGATGACCAGGTCGCTTCCTACATAGCTCAGTGGGCCTCACCCGGTAAAGCAAAAATTAGCTGAGTTTAGTTTTAGTTTAGTCCTGGGCCTCCCCTAGGTCGACTCGGGCTTAAACGAGTAGCCGGTGCGGCGTGTAAAACAACAGCGCAGGGGAGCGACAGATGTGGTGGCCTGCGCATGGTGCTGGCCACACCACCCCTGGCATTCACAGATACCCGCTACCGGCACTTGACTCAAGAAGCCTAGAGGCTACACGAGGTCGGGGGAGATCTTTGCCTTTGTTTTTGTCGGGGAGGAGGGGGGGGAAATCACATTTCTCAATAACACTGTGGGGCCTTCAAAAATAAGAAATACATAACACGCGACGTTTCGAACAATGGCCCTTTTTCAGTGCACATTCATTCACGCACTGCCAAGCGCAGCTCGATGACAAATTAACGCGTTTAATTGTTGTTGTTGTTGCGTGACTGTGTGTGTGGGCAGAAAGGCCGCCCCCCCCCACCCCCGCCCCCTCACTTGCTGGCGAGCCCCCCGCCGGGCGGGAGGTTGGGGATTGGCTCGGTGGCCATGGTCCTCATGACGTAGAGGAGGTCGGGCATCCCCTCCATGCCGTGCTTCTCCAGGATCTCTGCTCCACAACAAACACAAAGGTCCCGCCACCCCCCCCCCCACACACACCGTATTGCCTTAATAGACTGTTGAGGCAAGTGCAGTTAGCCAGCACCTACGTACGTATGTTGAATTTCTTTCACACCGTACGTAGCCGACCGTGTTAATCAGAGGTGCGGGGAAAGACAACATACGTACATAAAGCAGTACTCAAGAAATGAGCTTTCAAACTATATAGGCCGGCACGGCACCACGCCCGGCCGCCTTTGTCTCCCTGAGTGGCAAATATTAAACATCGCACCAAGTAATCATTTGAGGCTGAGTCAACCTTGGGACACACACACACGTGCACAGATGCGCAAATGAACACACGTGCGTGCACGCTCGTACATGTACACACGCACACAACGCACGCGCCTCGTTTATACCGTCTCATTTGTTCCGTCCCTGTTCCTCGTATGGAGCCGATGGGCCTCATTTGTTCCGTCTCGCCCGTGTTCCCGTTACAAACCAGAATAACGAAAGTGCTCTCTCAATCTTGGTGTGCGACGAAAAAATTCGATTCTTTAACGCGCACTTCCGCCAGATCGACCGAGCGAATGAATCGTCACGGACTTCCAAGTCATCGCCAATTTACATTAAAAAGGCACAACCGTTTGCCGCCGCCGCCACCACTGTCCGGTTCCCACCCAGCATGCCGTGCGGCTCACGCTGACCTTCCCCACCCCCCCGCAACCCTCGCTCGCCCACTGACCTTCGACTTTCGCCTCCAGGTAAGCGTCGAGTTCCGCCTCGCGCTTGATGGCCTCGGGGCAGGGCTTGGGCGCGCCGGGGAACGTGACCAGCACGACGCTCATGTTGTCCCGGCTCCCCTGGTGGGGGGAGGGTCACACAGCAACACACGTTCATTCATTCCTCCACATTCATTCGTTCGTTCGTCACCGCCAAATTCATTGGTGCACACACACAGGCCTTCTGTCAATCCACTGCTGGATGAAGGCCCTCCCCTACTCGGTCGGAGAATGCGACGGGCGAGACTCTCAACGACGTCTCGGCCCCTCACTTAATCCTGCGTCAACCTTCGGAAGTCCCGGCACCGGTTCAGATAATTAATCGTTACCGGTGTTGGTGGCTGTGAGCGGGAATCGAACTCGGGTCACCGGGTTCGTAGCGCAGCACGTTAACTGCTACGACTTTCACTCCCCACACCCACAAAAACAAAGATCCTCCGCATAGCCTCAACAGATTGTTTGAGCAAGTGCCTTTAGCGAGTAGCACCGATGAAGGATCGGTACACAAGGGGTTGAGTGGCCAACACCACGCCCGGCCGCCTTTGTCTCCCGAGTCGACCTAGGGGAGGCCCAGGACCGGTTCAGATAATCGTCACCGGTGTTGGCCATGAGCGGGAATCGAACTCGGGTTACCAGGTTGGTAGCGCGGGTCGCTAACCACCACACCACCGCTCCCCACACGCAAAATACAACAACAACCGTCATTCGCCACTAAGTGGCGGTGACGTCACCACGACGCTTGTGCCAGGCAAAACACACACACGCTCACCTTGTAGAGGCACGTGTCGAGCACGTGGTTGCACACGGCCTCCAGGTCGTCGGTGAGCAGCAGGCGCGAGCGCACGAAGGCGCACAGCTCCTCGTTGCCTACCACGTCCCAGACGCCGTCGCAGGCGAGCACCACGAACTCGTCGAGGGCGCCGTCGCGCTCCAGCGCGTACACCTCGGGCTCGGGCGACACCAGCTGCTCGGTGGGTCCCTTGCCGTCGACGCACTTGTAGTCGAAGTCGCCGAGCGCGCGCGACACGGCCAGCGAGCCGTTGACGCGCTGGATCATGACGCTGCCGCCGGCGTTCTGGATGCGCTCCTTCTCGCGCGGGTTGCACGGCTTGTGGTCCTCGGTGGAGAGGTGGACGCGCCCGCCCCGGCTCAGCACGCCGCGCGAGTCGCCGCAGTTGATGAAGTAGAGGCGGCGCGGCGACGCCAGCAGCGCCACGGCCGTGGAGCCGCTGCGGTCCGTGCCGTTGCGCAGCTCCGAGAAGGCGCGCATGCGCTCGTCGATCTGCAGGAAGCCCGTGCGGATCCCCGTCTTCACGCTCGACACGGACAGCTCGTCCGACGGGGGGGGCCGGATGCGGGGCCCAGTCGGGGCCCGCCGGAGATTTTGTCTTCGGCTCCGCGTTGTTGCCCGCCAGCTCGTTCTCGCCGTCCTCCTCGTCCTCCTCGTTCTTCCGGTTGTCCGTCTGCGGTTTCTTGCCTCCCGGGCCGGTGACTTCCACAGAGTCGCCTGTGGGCGCGAAAAAGAGAGGTGCGAGTGAGGTCAGCGGCTTTTCATCTGCGTGGTTCCCCCCCCCCCGACCGTAAATGTGTCACTGGTCTACTGTATGACAATGAAGAGGGTAGGAGATAGTCAGCAGTGGGTCACGATGAATTTATTTAATTGTGGCCGGCTACCAGGAGCAAGAATGATTGTTACCGTCGACGTCATGAACCGTCGGCGGTCGGTTGTCGATTAATTAATCATTTCGCAGGAGGTACAGTACCGGCAAGAGTAAACACGTCTCCACGCACGGTGAATTAATTAATCTGATCGCGGGAGGAGGCCGAGCATGGCCAGGCGTAAACGACGCTTCGACGCGCAAGCGAGCGACGGGCCGTTCGCTCGCGATCAACAAAACAACAAAGACCCCCCATTATAGCCTGCAACAGACTGTTGGGGCAAGTGCTGTTAGCGAGTAGCACCTATGAAGGCCGGTACGGCACACGAGGGAGTGGGTGGCCAGCACTACTCCCGACCGCTTTTGCCCCCCAAGCGGCGATGTTAACACACCGCACCAGGTTCTCGTTTGAGGCTGAGTCGACCTAGGGGAGGCCCAGAACCGATTCAGATAAAAGTCGTCATTGGTGTTGGCCGCGAGCGGGATTCGAACGTGGGTCGCCGGGCTCACTACACCACCGCTCCCCACACCAAGTTGACACCAATAACAACAACACGCCACGCGCCACACGAAGAGCAACGGCCAGCCGTCACCTCTGAAGTCGGCGTTGCAGGTGATGTGGTCGAGCAGGTGCTGCGAGCAGTAGTGGCGACGCGCGAGCCAGCGTGCCCGTCGTAGACGGCGAAGAAGGACCAGTGGTCGAGGCCGTACGGCAGGCCCACGGTGGCCGTGTGCGCGTCCTCCATCTCCACGCGCCAGCCCTGCATGCTGCTCAGCGCGTACTTGAGACCGTTGCCCGCGCCGCGGTCCGTGTGCTTCTCCATCTTGGGCTTGTCCAGGAAGGCGCCCATCGCGCCGGTGCGCGGAGCCGTGCGGCCACTCGGCCGCTGTGGAAAGTTAAAATCGTTGTTATCACGGTCGTAGTCGTCGTTCACGGTCGTCACCACCGGTCGCTATCGTCACCGTTATCGTTACAATCGCCAGCACCGCTTCACGAGAGGAAAGGAAACGTTCGCAGCTCGTTAGAGAACGGCCTCGAATGGATAGACAGAACCTGCACGCTGTGCGTACTCATTACTATTCCTGCGTGGGTTTTCGCACGGGTCTCTCTCTCTCTCGCTGTCCGTGCCACACGCCGTTCGCCGTGATCAGGGATCGGCAACCAAAATACCAAGGAGCAGCCATTTTTTTGTCAACTCAATATTTTTTTAATCAAGTTGGAGGTGCATCTTGTTATCCAGGCCACAAACGTAGCGCCGTTGAGCATTGAACCGGGCCTGTCTCGTGTTGTAAAGCTCTTGCAAATCACATCTGGTCATAACACGGCATTGGTTGAACAAGCCTGACTTGACGAGCTTCTGATGGGGAAAAAGTGGTCCAGGGTTTGCTTGCTTAAACATATTTCCGCTTGATGACATTGGGTCTGGAAATCCAATAGGCTGGTGGGCTAAAAAAAATTCACGTACATATATGGAGGCAAAGAAAGAGAGTTCTGCGTATATCTACTCTTACTTACAATGCAGTAGATGAGTGTGTGTGTCTGCAGTAGTGTAGAGGTTAGCGCGCTGAGCTATGAACCCGGCGACCCGAGTTCAATTCCCGCTCACGGCCAACACTGGTGACGATTATCTGAACCTATCCTGGGCCTCCCCTAGGTCGACTCGGCCTCAAATGAGTACCCGGTGAGGTGTGTAGCAAACATCGCAACTAGGGAAACAAAGGCGGCCGGGCGTGGTGCTGGCCACCCACCCCCTCGTGCGCCGTGTCGGCCTTCATAGGTGCTCGCTAACAGCACTTGCCCCGACAATCTTTTAAAGGCTATACGGGGATATTTGTCTCTGTTTGTATCACCAGATTTGCATAACGTTACTGAAAACCAGGCATCGGTTTGAGGTGTGTCTTATTCTTCGTCGGGGTCTTAAGATCCAAAGAACACGGTAGTGGTGGCCCGTTGGTTTTGTAACCCACCGACTGTTGAAAGGGTGAGGCTTTACACCACCGGGTCAACAAATCAATTATTACATTACCGCCATTACTTGTCAGCGGAGTGGCACCGCGGTTAAGGCACTTGTCAGACGGTTGAGAGTTCAACTTCAGGTCGAGGTGGGGCGGGCAGGGGGGTTAAAGTCAGCCCCGTCATTCCTCTGACGTCAAACAAAGTAGTGGGGGTACTGTCCAACAGTGAGCGGCCAATGTGGACACGGGCCCTCGCCGCGGGAACGTGGAATTTGCACCACTGGCCGACGGAAGTAAGAAGTAGATGTAGATGCCACCCCACTGCGGCTACGCAATAGCTCGGTGGAGGCCTTACCCGGTAAAATTAAAAATAGTTTGATAATTGTTTTTTTACCCTTCTATCTGGCAACAAAACTGACACCTTTTTGTTACAAGGAGTCATGTTTGCATAGACCACAATACCTGCAGTCGAAATGCAAACAAAAAACATAACTCTGTTAATGTTGCCAGATAGAAGGGTAAAAAAACTATTATCATATTTTTTACTGGCAAATGAGGTTCCAATGGTGTAAAACATAGTTTGTTTCTAGCCTTAGTTTTAGTTAACAATTTTTAATGTAAAAAACTATAGGTTATTAGGAAGCCACTGGAGCGATGCACTTGTAAATGATCTAGATTGAAACTCGTTTCTTTGGAACTGATTTTTTGTGTTTAGTTTGTTGTTCTTCCGCACGCTCCTCCGTTTAGCCACGGTTGGCTACGTACGGTGTGCGAAAGAAGTTCTATATACACGTCTGAGCGAGAAGAAACTTTATCTTGATTTTATGAGCTCGGTTGTGATTTCATGAGCTCACCTCCTTGTGTACGTTACAACAGTCGTACTTTTGATTCTGTCACGAGCAAAAGTGGACAAAATATGATGTCGCTGACACGAGCGTTACCATCAAGAGTATGTCAGGAGGTCGAAATTAAACCTTCGTTCACCAGAGTTCCTATGGAGTAAGAACTCGGACCATAGCGTTAGTTTTGTTATCTTCATAAACGGCGTTTGAAATGTGTGTCAAAGATTATAAAACTAAACTATTTTTATTTCACCAGGTGAGGCCCACTGAGCTATATAGCTCTTTGTCAGAAGCGACCTGGCAATCACAAATGATAGCTCAACGAAGTGGCTTATCATCACGTGAAAATGTATAGCAGCCAAATACTCTGAACACGTGATGTTGATTCTAAATTTATGGAAAAACCAGAAGACCCGGAGAAAAATCCACACGACCACGGGGAGAACATGCAAACTCCATAAATACGGCAAGCGTCAGCGTCGGGATCGAACCCACAACCTCCTGTATGCCAGGCGAGGCAGTTAACATTTCCTAGCCACCGTGATGATGATGAGAGAGAGAGACACGCAAACTCCAAATATACAGCAGCAGGCGTCAGGATCGAACCCACGACCTCCTGCATGCCAGGCAAGGTAGTTAACATCTTGCCACTTTGGCGCCCCACCAAAGCCAGCCCGGCCACACCCAAAATAAGCGTGACCACATCACAGCAACATGCCATTCCACCCGCTGGCTCCCATTCCAATCCCAGATAAATCGCCAACGTGGCTAGGAGATGTTAACTACCTCGCCTGGTGTGCAGGAGGTCAGGGATTCGATCCCGACCCGGACGCCTGCTGCTGTATATTTGGAGTTTGCGTGGATTTTTTTTCTCTCCGGGTCCTCTGGGTTTTCTCTCCAAATTTAGAATCAAACACGCGTTTAGATAAAATTTTCTGCTATAAATTTCCACATTATTTCTTTACTTTCCTATACTTTGCACGCCTATCCTGCTGTTTGTATTGTTTGTTGTTGTAAGGTTCTGACCTGACCTACTGGACATTTGTGAAAAAGAGTTTAATAGCTCATCGGATTCCTCCAGAAAAAATATTCTGATTCTGTCTTCAGGAACCTGCACGGACTCGCCCCTGCCTACCCCCTCGCCCCCTTGTCTCGACTCTACTCCCGTCCACACACTCTCCTCCCCCAACCTCTATCCTCTCATCTCACTCCAATCCCCTCCTCCATGCACTCTTTGCACCAGCAAACCAAGGATTTTGATTGACACCCCCGAGTCAAACTTCACTCAGTGGCTGGTCGCTCATTGTCATGTAGCCCCCCAATAGCGTGCAACTCCCTTCTCCCAGTCAACCTCGCTGCTAACTTCCTGTGCCTGTTAAAGTCCAGGCTCAAGACCTCCCCCCCCCCCAGTTCCTATCTTTGCCAATGACTGCCTCTCGACAAAATCAATATTCCCACTGCTTCCCACATCTTCTTGAAATGCAGTCGGACGTCGACGCTATGTAAACCTAGGTGGTATCATGACTGTTTTTCGTGACGTACGTGTGCGTCATTGGAACGTAATCGGAAGAACCTCTTTTTAATTGAAAAAACGTTATTGGTGCCGAGGCTCCCACAAGGCCGTGCAAGAGGGCGCATGGCACAGTTTGGCGCCCCAGCTATCGTTGAGTGGCGGTCGTGTCGCTACGGTTCCTTGCGGTGAGTGCAATGTATTTAAAAAAAACAACGGCGCACCACGCTCGTACGACACCTGAAATAAGTTACCATGGTGAGGAGTCGGGAGACATGGACCGAGGATGGGGGGCATAACCACTCCGAAATAGACGGAAGCCAGAATCGGAGGGGGTGGAAATAAAAATTGCTCGTTTAAGTCGCCTCTTATATTTTTATTTTCTTTACGTCAACTGCGTTGCAGTTATATCCCTTCCCACTTACTTAAAAAAAGTCACCTTATCCCCTATCAGTGAGACCGCCTTGTATAGTTTGGGGCAGCGAGCCCACTCACCATCTTTCTATCCCCCTACTTTTCATAACCGTCACAACGTCACGTATCGGGCCCAAATATTGTCTCAAAAAAAAAAAACGGCGACACTACGATTCTCCAAGTAAAATTAACGCTGAAACCAGCTCAAGTGTTCTGAGATTCGGTGGTGAACGGGAACACCCACCACCCTGCAACTTGCAGACGGATGGTAAAGAGCCAGTGCTAGTCACCACTGGCTCTTAAACATGTTCGCACTGGCCCTTGACATGACTTGGATGTACGTATGTTGAACTTCTTTCGCACCCTACGTAGGCAACCGTACTGTAATCGTAGGTGCGGGGGGAGGACGAGACAACAAGCTAAACGCAAAAAGCAGTAAAGAAATTCGTTTTCAATTTAGATGATTTAAAAGTGCATAGCTCCAGTGGCTTGCTAATATTGTTAAGAAGAGTGTTCCAGACAGCCGTACGTACCCAACCGTGCTAATCGGAAATTTGAGCGTACACACGTTAACACGGCTTAACCGTACGGATAAGCAGTGCCAGTCGGCACTGGCTCTTATTAACATCAATGACAATTAAATTGGTACCACATTGTTCATGCACAACGTACACAAGCTCCTTGATCGTGTGCTTTCACACGGTTCGACTCGTCGCCACCCACCGTGGCCGTCGCCCCAAGGGGCAACCGCCGACACCTCCCAACCCTACCGCCCCCTCGCCCGCAACTTGAAACAAATACAAATTCAGTACGCGTAGAATCACGGCCCTTTTATAAAATCCACTGCTGGATGAAGGCCTACCCACGCCGAGTCGGTTGTTTGACTGTACACCATGTTCAACCTACCCCACAATTCCCACACTTTCGTTCTACATTCCCAACTCCACTGGCTCCCTGTCTGATATCGCCGTCTGTTTAAATGTCTCACTCTAGCCCCATAAATCCCTCCATAGTCTCGCCCCACCTTATCTTGCTTCTCGCGCATCTCTCTACCATGCCCCATCCCCATAGTTGTCAACCCATATGGTTTACCCCGTATTCTTCTTGTACATGGAAATTGAGTTTCAGG